CCCAGGTATGGATAAATAGCAGAACTCACCAGATTCTATAAACTAGGATGGCAAATGGTACACAGAATGAAATGGCAAGATACTACTGGAAAAAAATCTGCCTCGTCAGTCATGTATCGAAAGTTACATGATCACCTAAACGTGTATCACGCATAGCACGTAACTGACTGACCGTACAGATTGAATAAATCTGTCCCATTCTTACTTCTCTTTCTAATTTTGTCTAATTGATCAATTCAGTATCTATCCGTATGGCGACGATTGTCCTCACTAAATTTTCTAGATCACTATAATGTCCATTCCATATAAATAAAGTTTTACTAGCAGTTGAAATATATATTTGTGTCTTACAGTTATCAAATGCCAGCACGCGATATTTTTATCATATGTATACATCTTTCTGAATTTGTATTATTGTATGTATAGGATAAATAATTATGGAGTTATAAACGAAAGTTTTAAAAAAATAACATTCTGTTGGTTTCAAAAAATAATTACGTCATGTTTTACATTCATATGAACATTCAAAAACCTGAAGTTTTCGAAACATTCCCAATTCAAAATACACCTAATACGTAAAGAGTGAATAAAAAAAGGATCAATTTTGGGCGGTGACTAGCAAGCAAGTGTCACAAGATTCCGTTGTCGACCGAGTTCAAATCTCACTTTCCAAGTTTAGTAAAATATTTAAGCATAAATCAGTGGTGTGTTTTGTAACAAATCGGAAATGGTAAAAAAAAGAGACTTGCTGATTCAAGATAAAACAGCTTTAGAATTTTTCTTGCTTTTAGAATACCTCATATTTCATGAGTGAGAGATGAAATCTTCAACGCAAAAAGTAGAAGTTTTATTGTTATCTATTCCATTTATTTAAATGACAAGAGATTACATATACATCTATAAAGAATGAATCAAAAAATATCTCTATTGTTTTCATGTTTCAGATCCATTCTCTCTTCTTTCTACTTCTACACTTCTCTGTGTCTGTCTATCTGGCTCTGACTGTATACACTTATACAAAGACACAAACATCGTAGTACGTGAATGTAAAGGTCTACATTTTGATTTTCATTATGTATTCAGAGTTATATATTATATACACAGTATCGGACAAAAATCATCGACCATTTTGAACTAGTGTAAATTTCTGATAATTGCAACATATAAGAGAATCTTTTTTATTATTCTGTCTACAATGAAAATTTGGTATTAATATAGTCATTTTCACACCTAATTATCATTGTTTTTAGCAAGAATTATGAGTGAGGAGAGAATAAACAAAAAACTTTTGCACAGTAGAAATATTTTAATATATTTGCCGTTTAAACGTTATTTTTTTATAGATATAATTTATTTAACTAAATGCTCTGTTTGTTTTTTAACTAAACATTATTAATTACATTTACCGGCCTGAATGTTCGAGAAATTTCTTAGAAATTATATGATTCTCCGACAGAAATCGAACCATTAACCCTTAATGGGAACAATCATTTGATCTGATGTGCTGTTAAACACTCAGCTATATAAAAAGCGTCTGGTTAGCAAAGTCCAAATTATTCTTTATAAAGATACACCTTCCTTTAACTTAAGATATATCCTTCTTTCCTGAAAATCCTAAATAGCTTTTAATTCGTCTGTCAATCAGAAATCCTCTGCCAAGCGTGGCTTATGAACCTTGGATGAGCTGAACCTTATTTAAAAAAAAAAAAAAAAAACTCATAGAAATCAACAATGAATGTCCAGTAATCTTCTGGTCATCTTCATGATGGACGCTGATCGAACAGGCTGGAAAAAGTGTCACTGCAAAGAACCCAGGTAAATTTGTAAAGTGGTACACACCAGGTGTATTTCATCGGTGATGCTTATGGGATTTATACCACCGAATATATCGAAATTGTTTCCTCGTTACTAAATTAAACTGCTGTTTAATTTTTTATTTTTATACATCCATATCTGGATCTGTTTTTATAGTTTTTTCGTCTGTCAAATGTTTCATACTGTATATCTATAATTAAAAACAAAATGTCTTCATTATATGCCAACGTACAAAAAGTCCTCTCCAGATATATATATATATATATGCGAAAATAAGATATAAATGAATATATCTGTAACGACGTCTATAAATGAAGATAAATGACAAGAAGAAAACGTGTCTTCTTAATGCGATTCGTTCCTGGAGTAACTTCAGCAAATGAAAATGTAGCAATTTAACTGAGAAAAGCAATTGTACTTGTACACGGAAACAGTTCTACTGACAATAGATAAACGTTTTAAAAACATTCGAAAAACTCTCTTTGCTATATACACATGTCTCTTTCTCGAACACAAACACACACATATATGGTCGCTTAGTGCTGACCTCAGAGTCGACAAATATATATTTACACACACTCTATATTATTGATATTGTGTACTTTTACCTATAAATATAACATACTACAAAGATTATATTTTTTCGCATATATATATATATATATATATATATATATATATATAT